GCATATTTTAAGGTTCAATGGCGAATTATGACTTCGTGAAGATCACGGATTTCCTTGACAAAATTTAGCACTAACCATACGTTATTCCCCGATTCTGTTCCCCCAAGTTTCTTCCGGGATTCCCCCCTTCCTTTCTTTGGAAATGACTCATCAGTGTCAAGAGTAGTTTTTTTCACTCAATTGTTGTTATGAATTTCAGGGGGGTGTAGTGACTTTGCCAAAAGGTTGATGAGACCGTGCAGCTGTAAAACGCAATTCATGGCTTGGATTCTCTTTTTCATTAGTTTAATGATTGTGATTAAATTTTAATGATTCTTTTTTTTTTATAATTTAGCGATAGTGATTAAATTTTAGCAACGAGTGTGTTTGGATTGTTGAATTATTTCATATAATCATAAACACATTTTTTAATTTATCTTTTTATCTGACATATATCATATAAAAAAAACGTTATAGTAATTATTTCAAATAATATTCTATCCAAACACACTCAATTGGGGAAGCTTTAATTTAGTGACTAACATCGAGATGCTTAGAAAGGGTTCTAATATTTCTTCCTCCCTATATGCTTCTTTCTCGAATCCGGCCCCTTCGCTTTACAGAAATGTAATGAAAAAAATAAATACAATAAAAAAGATGTAAAAAGTTATTTTGTCGTTTTACACGAATTGAGAAGTAGTCTCTTCAGGAATTGGTGCCTTGTCTTGTCGAGCACCTTCTACATTATATTGATTCTTCCCAAACCATTCTGCCTTCCACGGGGTTATTTATCAACGCGGTTTCTTTTTAACCAACCAAGGGCACAGTAATACTAATAGAAAACAACCTACAATAATCTAGTAGCAATAACCTGCGTGTTTGATTTTCACAGCTGTCTCGGGTGCTTGATGATGGACTCAACTTCTGTATACCTTTCGGAATAGCAAATGTTTTGCGCCGCTCCGCTCCTGCGGCTAGCCCGACTGATTTCGTAATTTGATAGTTATAGTAGATCTTGTGATTAATTCTTGTGTGCTATCTATTATTATTGGAATAAAATTTTACACGGTTTTCGAGAATTACTCTGACTGAAAAGCTAAAATACCTCTAAGTTGAAAAAAAAAAAAAAAAAGAAGTTTTGCGGCTCGCGTTTGGAAAACAGGTGGCGTGAATATTGTTGGGCTCAATATGGGCAAACATTTACAGGCGGACTTGGGCTGAATGTAAAAATACAAGATTTTAATTTCCATACGATGCGCCTGGCAGTAAAGATCGGTCCAATCAGTATTAAGACCTATACGAGCGAGATTCTGTAATGAGAGCATGTTTACTCGAAGCTGGACTTTCCGTCGAATTGGTCTTGGGCTCCAATCCAAACAAACTGAAAAAAAAAAAAACATGTAAGTGATGCCTAAGTTGGGTGGGTGAAACCAACCGGGCACATCAACACTGGTCCATCTTGCGAAAGCAACAAACTGGCTCTGAACTACAAGTGCCCTTTTTTTTTTTATTGGGCCGAGCTACAATTCGTTAATTAGTTACCACTGGAGTATTAAATAAGGATAAAAAAAGGAAAATCTGTAAAATCTGTAAGTGGACAATTAGGAGGAGTTGGGGACGTGACGGAGTGATAGTAAGCCGAGACTCAATCAAATACATGTCGGAGTGCTTGTTCAACGAAAGTTTTGAAATCTCAAAAATATTTGTTTTCCCACCGGAAGCTAACCGCCAAATCCCTGAAGAATCAATATTCAAAAAAAAAAAAAAAGAAAAAGAAGAAGAAGAAAGCCCAGACACAGCCCAAACCCATTAAAAGAACCATCCTAGTCACGCGCTTATCTCTACTTCTTTCTATCTCCACTTTCCGATCTTCTCATTGTCCTTCCTAAGCTGCCTCCCTCAGGTAAGGCTCCGCCCTCTCATTCTCCTGTACTCTACATATTTACGAGATGTGGATCGTTTATTCATAGTTATTCTCCAAATTCTTTGGTTAAAATTTCTGTTTTATCTTATTTACAGAACAAGTTTAGTGGTCAAAAGGAGAATGGCTGGAAAAGGTGGGAAGGGGCTTTTGGCCGGAAAGACTACGGCAGCCGCTGCCGCAGCCGCAGCAGCCAGCAAGGAAAAGGAGAAGAAAAGGCCCGTTTCCCGCTCTTCCCGTGCCGGTCTTCAGGTGATTTTTTTTTTTTGTTTCTGTTTTTGTTTTTTAACCCAACCCACCCATGGGCCTCTCCATTTTCTATTTCCTCTCTCTCTGTCTCGTCTATGCGTAGATCTGAGCAACCAACGATCTGCCACTGCCAGTATAATATGACCCGGCATTTATTGCTCTGTATTTTGAGATATGGGTTCCCAAGATTGTTAAAAGCATTCAGAATCTGAAACTTAAATTAGTAAGTGATTTCATTAGGGGAGGTATCTGCGGTTAATCTGACTCATTTTAGTTGACTGTATCTTTGTATAGTTAGTGTTTGGGATGAACAAGTCAGTATCAACTGTTTAAGGCTGCATTCAACAATTATACCACCATTTTTTTAATCTTAAATCACATGAACTTGGCCCTCAATACGTGCGTTCTAGATTTTCTGGATATTGGAGCTATACTTGAGACTATGACTCAGATACATTTCCATAGTTGTGCTTCCTCTGGGGGCAATTTTTGTACCCAAATTCTTCAGTGGGCCTCCACTATGCGAACAGCAGCATGAACTGCTTCCATAATTTTGCTAACTTCTTTTTCTTTCTTGATGTCTTGGTCATATTTAAGCTGTCTTTGGACAATTGGGTAAAAATTCTCCATGCCATTTCTGATTATTCTCTGAAAAGGATAGAGTGGAGGAAAACAAGATATGTAGTCATTGTGTCATTGCTCTGCTTAATATAACCCTTAAATGTTTCTTTATCTAATCTCTTGAAACTGTAATTTGTGTTTCTTTTTTGGTGCTGGGCAATTTTAGTTTCCTGTGGGTAGAATTCATCGCCAGCTGAAGTCGAGGACATCGGCTCACGGAAGAGTTGGCGCCACAGCTGCTGTTTACTCTGCTGCAATCCTTGAATATCTTACTGCAGAGGTGCTTGAGTTGGCTGGAAATGCGAGCAAAGATCTGAAAGTGAAGAGAATTACTCCCAGGCATCTGCAGTTGGCCATTCGCGGGGATGAGGAGCTTGATACCCTCATCAAGGGAACCATTGCTGGCGGTGGTGTCATCCCACACATCCACAAATCCCTCATCAACAAGACCACCAAGGAATGATTCAAGTCCCTTTACTTCCTCACTATCTCGTCCACTAATGAAACGTCCTAGTTCTAGTAGCTATTTTTGTGACTGTTTGTCTCTAATTTGCGTAGAAACTCTTGTTTTAGTGGGATGATGGTGAGTCGTAGCATAATTTAGGAGTTTCTGATGGGAAATAGTAGTAGTAGTGTGTGTAGGCAGTTAGCGGGATTTGATTATGTTGAGACACCATCATCATTCTTAGTCCCTCCTCCCCAGGTTTTCTGTGTTGATCTGTGCATGGAACTATAAATTTGTCTAATATGCATGGCTTGCATTTTCCACTACCCTCTCTTCGAATCCTTTTCAGTTTTCACTGAGCTGGCCGGTTGAAGGGTTTCTTTTTTTGTTTTTGTTTTTGTTTTTTTTTTCCTTTTCTAGGGTGGCGTGGGTTTTGATGGGTTCGTCCCCTTCCAGAGGAGCGTGTATTATCCTGCTTGAGCATGCAGTGAACTCAGGCATTGTTCGTTTGAGTTTACTGGACAACCACGGTTCGATTTTACTTTGCCTCCGCTCACAAGCTAATTGTGTTGAAGGCTGGGATTAAGATAGGAAAGTAAAATTTGAAAACGAATTGCTAAATGTAGAAAGTAATAATAAATATTTCATATAGATCTATCCTCTTCTTATCATTTATACTATTATAAATGGATTTGGAAGAGAGATTTGAGAGAATAGAATTGTACATTTGAATAAAAATTACACGATTCAATCAACTTCTTTTAGAGGAATTGGTCATCACATGAATTATGGAGCGGGAGGCCAACGTTTAAAATGCGTCATTATATATGTGGCTTCTTTTAAATCCATACGAGGTGCGTGTTGCATTTGTCTGATCTGATGGTGATTTAGTGTTGTATTTGTCTGATCTGATGGTGATTCAGTTTTTGTCGGTTCTCTCGGTTCAGTTGGACCACTTTCCTCCCTAGAGTTGGCTAGAGTAAGAGTGGGAGTAAATCCCTGTTTAATAATCCGGTTTAGTTGAGCCATTTCCTTCTTAGAGTAAGCTAGAATAGGAATAGGAGTAAATCTCCGTTTAATAATCCAGCTCAATTGGATTACTTCTCCCCTAAAGTAGATTAGAATACGAATAGGAGTAAGTCTCTGTTTAATAATCTAGTTCACTGCTTAAATTTAATAGATGATTCAATATCACTGAATTTTTTATACAAAATTTGCTCTCAAAATTAAGTGATAAACTATTCACCTATCTGTGATATGCATTCAAATATATTAAATTTAATACTTAACATTTCAATAATTTAATAAATTTTAAATTTGAGATTTCAATTTTATCAAACGCACCCTAATCGCTACTGTTATTACAGTAGTGCCTGGGCCAACATTTACTACAGTGGGGGCGGGTTGCTGTAGAGCCTGCAGTCCGGCAAATAGAAGGGGCGATAGGTAGGGATTATTTCATTTATTAGTCTATGAGAGGTAGCGCACCCGGCTGTGTCGACGACAAACCTAAAATCCAAAGCCGGCGAGTGGTACCAATCTCATCTCATGTGTGACAGGACAGCAGGTTAGGACGCTGAATTAGGAACTACTATACTGCTGATAATCCAGCTGTGGAAGGATAACACGTTCAAATGAAGGCAGCCCACCAGTTGGCTATGCTTCAAGGAACAGTAACCTATAACAATAACAAAAGAGTAAAGCAAGCGAAGAAACGGATACGATGTCCATTTGTCAGCATCTATACCAGAATAAAATACTGAGGGAGTACTTGGGCGGGCCTAATATAAACTCGTTCCCAGCCAGCCGCTGCCAAATCCAACAGTTGTAGTTCCAGATTCTGCCGATTCATGATTTGGGTCTGGGTCACCCTGGCGAGACTTGTTCACTAAAGTTCACCCAAATCCGGAAAGATTGGAGTGTTTAAGAGCAGAAGGTAGATTGCATGGTGCAGTGAACATCAAAGCTAACCCTAGTTAGTGAATTAGTGTCTAAATCCTATCCATTTAATTACCACCCCTTATTAATATAATATATATATGTATATTTTACCTCGAGTAAAAATGTGTTTCTTATTGGTAGACGACGTTATTAATTATTTAGCTGCAACTAACTCTAAGAAAAGCTTCGTTTGGGGCATCCTAAATATTTTTTTGGTCGGGGACTAAACATGCATGATCATGATGCAAGCAAACTAAGCGACAGATTCCAGAAAGTTTTGGGGTATCAAAAGACAGAGGCTTGGTTATATGCTCTTTGTTGTTCTATTGTCACCTCTTATATTATCAATAATAAATAATCCAGTGATTACCATCGAACTTTCCTTCATAATCAAAAGCTCCATTATTTTTCCTTCATCCCTTCCACTATCTATCTATCTCCTCTCGAATATGGACGCAAAGTTGTCAGTTGTTGTACAGCACTATTGCCACTTGTCGCCTCTATGCCACCCGCGGCGCAAGCACAGGTCCGATCATTCTCCCTCTCCCTACGTTGTTGCTGTGCTGAGCAGGTCACCGGACAAGTCCGTGGAACTGTCAGGCACGATGGCTTCCAGGACCGTCTACAAGGATAACTGGTTCGACCGTGCTGCCATTAATCACCTGTCCCAGAGGTTGCAAGAAACAACAGGTTCAAAACAGAAAACTGTTGCGGATTGGTCCTGCTGTTTAATTAACTACATATTGTAAGTGCTGACGACTTCAAAGGTTGGATCAAAATTTTCTCACCAATATGCACTGATGATCTTCAGGATTGCGAAGTAGCAAGAGTGGATATGATGGGCTGGTGGAGGCAGCAGGAGTGGCTTATCGGAAGTTTAATTCAAGCCAACAACAAGATCTTATTATTCAAACTCTTGAAAAGGCCTTCCCCCGCCCTATTCTCTCTGCGGCAAGTTCATTTATTCCCCATTAAATCCTCTAGTTACCCTTTCTTAGTATTTGTCTTTACAACTTCTCCAGCCCAACTAATTACTCGGGCTGATGCATGACGGAGAAGCTCCCACAGGGATCAGCCAAATTTGGCATTGTTGCTTAGATGTGATGATCTGTGTTCTTTGGTTTTTGTCTCCGAAAAACTAGCACCAGTACTCGTCAACTTGGACGAAACACCAGATAAGAATTACCTTACTGAACTTTGTTTGTCAAAAGCCTCGTTAAGATATTCAAGTTTCCCGACTTTATCATGGTATGCAAGTTTTCACAAGGTTTTCACTCCTTAACTAGTCAAGGCAGAAAAAAAAAAAAATCATCTCAAGAATGAAAAATACATAATTAGTAACAAAAACCAATCAAACTGTTTGGCTCATAACTCAAGAGAGTCGTGCTAAACTATGAGAATTGATTTGCAATACAACATGGAGTAGATGAATAAGCGGCCGGTTGTTTCCTTAGCGATGCGCATCATGCAAAGTAAAAGCTTTAAATTCTAAAACCAATTAGGGTTCCTCGTTTGGGGAATCATGTTGATTGAAATTAAAACGCCTGTCTCTGGCAATGTGTGTGATGATGTCGGTTGATGGCATGTTGGCAATGGTTTTGTTTTTTGGGGGGAGGGGGGGGTTGAGGAAAAATGCCTATCCATTATTTTGTGCTCCCCACTTTTCTCCTGTTGCTTGGGCCTGTAAATTGAGTTCGAAGAATTTTACAATATATACTAAAATCATAAAGAAAGAAAGAAAGAAAAGAAAAGTTAGCAAGCTGGCCAGAAATCTGATGCAATGGTAAAGATTAGGCCACGGGCTGAAATAAACTGGGCAGAAAGGTAAAATGCTCAACAATATAAAAGCAGAACATCATTGACAAATTAATTGTTTGTTTTTGCCTTACAAATTGCGCTTATGGTTCACTAGACAAGGGTTGTAACGTGGTAGATGAATGATGTTAAACAGTGCAGATAAGGGCCCTTCTGCCGCAATCCAAATTTGCAAGAGAATTTTTTGCAGTCTTCACAACTATTTTCTTTGCTTGGTTAGTTGGACCCTGCGAGGTAAGTTACTCTTATTGCAATATTCATTGCATTTTGGAATAAAAACTATGCATGAACCAAAGCCACACATATAATAAGATACATCTTTCTGGCAAAAGAATAGAGGACAACCCCTTTGGAATTTGAACATCAAAACTGGAGCAACAAATACGGCCACAAAATCAGAATTTGCATGTACAATTATTGGCAAGCAAAATAATATATGATTTCTTTTGGCAAACAAGGTGAGGGAGTCAGAATTTGACGGCACAAAAGAGAAGAATGTCGTCCACATAAGGAAATGCAGGTATCTTTTCGTTCTTCTCCTTTGAATAAAATATCCAGTCATTACAACCTAAGTGACCAAACATGAAATGAGTTCCTCATAAAAACTACGACAATCTACTCCAGTCATTGTGCTCCAAGTTTGTTTGTTTGTTCCCCCACTTAACTCAGTGCCCTCAATTTTAATGATGTTTATCTAAATCATGGTAATGTCTCATGTCCTTGTTTACGAATTATGCGTCGTTCTAGCTATAGCTACAAGCTTCAACCTCTGATATTCTCCTCAATACCTTTCAGGTTCTTAGAGGGGACTAACTGTGTAGGAATGTGCACCAATCTTTGCAAAATGTCATCGCAAGAGTTCATTAAAGACTCACTTGGCATGCCACTCAACATGGTTCCCAGTAAGTATTCAGCTGGACCGTAACTCCAAATGCTTCAAAAATTCAGAACTTAATCTACTGGTCCGTATTCTCATACACCTGATCACTATGTGGCCTAAAGAGTTAATAGTGCAAGGAAAAAAAAAATAGAGTTTTCTCATGCCCCTAGGCTACTAAACAGAAGTGTTGAATCACACCTATTAACTCCCTATAACACAAACAATGGTACAAGCACTAGTTTCCAGACAATTATACTATCAAGGGATAATTGCAGAAATCTCCCTTGAGGTTTCTGACAGTTGCACATCTCTCTTGAGATTTGAAAAATAGCACTAACCTTCGCTGAACTTAAGATTTTGATAGCAACTTCAACCCATATTAGAGAAAGTGCCATTAAAAAAAGTCTTTTGAGAAGTGAAATAATAATTTTGTTTCATTTGTATCTTTTTTGCCTCTTGTGAGGTTGTATTAGTAAAACATTGAAAAACATTAAGAGATGGAAACAATTAGTGCAAAAGAGAACAAGGACAGTAGTAAAATCTAGAAGAAACAACAAACATATGTTCAGAAATCTGAGGTTCTAAAGCATATAAAGAGTCTGTTGATTATGCAAGAAAATTCACCTTTGATTAGTACAAGAGAGATTTTTATTGTCATACTTTATAATATATTCATCTCACACTATTTACCATATTTCATAGATAGTTATGTTCTCTCATGATTGACGCAACAATTTCATTATACTATAACTACCACCACAACTTTGTGTATTAAGTTGAGATGATAAAGGATTGCTTATCTATCATTTTTTGATTGCTGTAGATTTTTAATAGAAAAATCCTTAGATTTTGTTTATGATTTTCATGAAATAATCTCAATCAAAACCACCAAAACTTATTCTTTTTATGAAGCTTTGTTTAGAGGTTTCTTTCTCTTACATTTTTCTTGCTTCTGCTTCTCTTTTATGTAGAAAATATATAATTTGTATTGTCCTCTTAAGTGTTGTTAATCACAAAATAACACCATGTTAGAGTATCAAAATGGCGCCATTTTGTAAGTGAACTTACAGTGTCTAATAAAGGAAAAAATAACCATTAATGTTATTTAATTAATTATTTTAGACTTGTTTATTGTTCTAATTTTTTTTTTTGCTCCAAATTTGTTTACTAACAACCTTAAACTCTTAGGGTATAGAAGTAAATTCATCCTATCTTATGTCAACTATAGACTCCAAATTCATGCTAGAGGAGGTTAATTGTATTTTTCAAACATAAGGAGAGGTGATTGCAACTGTTAGGAACTTCAGGGGTGGTTTCTGCTATTATCCCTACTATCAATGTACATGAGTAGTTGAGTGAAGGACGCAAAAAGAAAGTAAGATCATGTTGACGGAGCAACAGTACTTGCACTAGATCATGAAGCCCTTGCAAAGCAACCATGGAGGGCCCCATCTATCAGCCACTTAAGGTGCAGCACAGGAAATATTTCCATCATAGAGCAGTTGAAAATAGTAAATTGCAATGTAAGTACACCTGGCCAGGGAGGAAGGAATTGAGGAAGGAAAAAGAGACCAGATGCTGTTACCTGATGCTCTTTCTACTGGCTGGGTATAAAACATCCCATCTCTGGTCTTCTGAGTTAAACATTAAAAGCAATTCACTCATCCGTCAAAATCCTATAATCATTCTATTACCTCTACCATGCATGTAGTCATGACAAATGATGGCATAATCTATTATTATTATAGCAGAACTCCTATTGGAGAGCACAAAAAAGAGCTTCCATCTGGTAATCCATTGGTATCCAGATGTCAGAGAACAATCGGATGGATAGACACGGGAATTTCTTGGTTATATATGCCATGGCTTTTCCTCAGTTGATTGATACAGCTTTTTGAATTCGCAGACTTTGATGATATGAGCTGTGACATGATATTCGGCCAGGAACCTCCATTGGTAATCAATGATCCAGCATTTGTGCAGCCATGCTACAAAATATGTAAGGACTTAAAGATTCTTATATAGTTCGTGCAATTTTAATACAACAAAACGCCATACTAATTAAAGTCTATTGGTTTATCATTCATTTAAAATAATTTATCACGAAGGGCAGGGTAGTAACCCCCAGCGTTTCTGATGGTGATATGTGCAGGCAAAGAGAACAAAAAGAACCATAAAAATTGCACGAGCCAATAAAGAAGAAAAAGGAATGGGAACGCAACGCTTTGGATTTCAAGTAGCCGATATCCATCCTTCGTCCATTAGCTCCGGTCACCAAAATTCTCATGTGTTTTCGTGGATGAACTGCCATATGTAGCAGTCTCTGTAGCTTTATTTCTTGCATAATTTGTTTGTTGTCATCAGAAATCGAAATCAGGGGTAATTCAGGCAATCATGTGTTGTGTTAAAGTTAGCACTACTCTTGGCGGGCAAAACGCAATGAAAACTTTGAGGTTTGAGCAGTCTTGATATTTGAAGATTTAAATGAAACTAATTGATGCTGGCATATTACACTACTAAGGCCTAATAATTCTTAAAAAAAAAAAAATTTATATTATTATTTAGCATTTTTAGGTAGTTTTCCTATTTAATAGTTTGAATCTTATATTAGGCAATATCTGGTACTGTTTGTTTCTTGTTTATCAAGTTATGTCAACTATGATAATGAATCGCAACTTAATTAAATGGCGGAAGGTAGGTAATTAAAGAAGCTGAACCGACAGGCCACGAATTCGAACTGTATCAAGGAGAGTAAAGCTACAGAAGAGTGGAACTTTTTTCTATCTATTTGTATAAATTGGCCTCTTCTTAATTATGTATCTGAGTGCGTGTGGTTGAATTTATTTCCCCACTTCTGATATTTAAGTTCTACAGTCGATGCTAAGACCTCTTGCTGAAAAATTCTCAAATCCGGAAAAAAATTAGCGAAGAAGTTCGGCCAAGACTGGATCCATCAACTAACACAAAAACCACTCTAGAAATATATGGACTGCATCACCTCAGAGGGTTGTATAGGCCGGTGGCAAAGAACGACCTGACTCCATCAGAAATTTTCAGCATCAAAATGAGAAACTTCTGGAGCAGAAGCAGTTCCCGTCCACGTCGTGAGACATCAAAGTGGAATAACATCAGCATCAGCATCAGCATCAGCATCAGCATCAACATCAACATCAACATCATCCTGTGTGTCCATAAAATAAAATTCGTTTATAATTAAGTTAGGGCAACATCAAGATAAGCCGACTTTTGATCATGGCTTAAACTTCGATTGACAAAAGCTCGACGTAGCAGCATTTACCTGTATGACTAATAAGCCAATAATAAGCTGCGTCTCATTGGAAAAGTGCTTTGACTACAGACTTGTTGAAGGGATCTTGGACAAGAAGAAGTGGACGTTCCCATTACGCTAATTCATTCAGCAGAGGCCTTGTGCTGTCTTTTCCGTCCCATCTTATTATGGTGTGATTTCCTGATCATCACTTCTTGGCCATTTTCATGCATATGAATTCCGAGGAAATTCTGAGGTCTTTCAAATGTCATATATACATATTTTTTTTTTCAAAAAAAAAAAAAAAAAAACAAAGCCATTTATTAATGTCAAAATTAACTGTCCTCCTCAATCAACTTTTTCAGTGTTTGTGGATAACAAAATTTGGTCCCCAAAAAAACCAAAAGTGAAATACTCAATCTAAACCATGAATTGCATGTACCCTATAAACCTAGGGTATGATCATTGATGATGATGGAGTCTTTCATCCCATTGAAGGACAGTTCCCACTCGCACCATATCCCCATTTCCCTAATCTCTCCTCCTCCGCATAACAATAATAATATGTTAAACATAAAAAGGTAGAAACTGGCACATATATACTTGGGAAGAACAAAAAAGGGTTTTTAAGCAAGCATTATAATACTTATATAATAGACAACTTATCATCTTCTGCTTTGGGATAACTCAATTATAATCGCCTTGCCTTTTCCCTGCAACATAACGAGTACTGAAAAAAATAAAAAATAAAAAAGAAGTCCATTATATCTTGGACGAAATAGGAGGGGCCCAACTGTCTCGATGCATGGACTTGGAAATGCATATGGGCACTTATATGAGCACGACAAATTTTTGCACTTTGGTAGAGCCACAAGCCCACAACCCTATTTGAGGAGGGGTTTATGATTGGGCTGTTAGGTTGAATTTGGGCTCTAAGTGTTCACATTATTATCATTACTTCTGATACTTACATCTACCTTCCTTGATGTTTAATCAAATTACCAATCAGCTCTTGAGGTTGGGCAAAATTATATTCACCCCCATGCCGTTAATGTCATTTGCATTTTACAGTTAGAGTCCGCAGAACGACAAAATTACCCTTCATCCAAATGCTGGATTACGAGCCAAGTTTGATTTGGAAAGACCGAAAAGAAAGCTGGAAGTAAAAAGGAAGGAAAATGAAAGACAAAATGTAGTACCAAAAAAGCAAAGAATGTTGATACAGAAAAAAACCATGTATATATATATTTTTTCTCAAAACAACATACCTATCATAATTATATCTTTGTTGGTAACTGGTTAGTGGTAATCACCATCATTGTAGGGCTGCAAGTCAACGTAAGATGGGAAATGAGAACGAATAAAAAGGTGGGGAACAAAAGGGTGTGTGAGGATAGGATTAATGAGCATTTTCGGACATTTGGTGTTAATTTGTTGACCTCATTAACGAATAACCGGTCAAATGTTTGTTGTTGACTAATTACAGCTGTGTATCTGTCAAGAACAAATGTAATTAACCCCATAATTTTACACCTAACTTTGTTTTTTTTTTTTCTTTTGGCATTTTGAATGATCTTTTTACCATTATAACAACCGCTATTTCTTGCTTGTGTTACTCAGATAATCTTTTTCAACTAACCCCATCTTCCTTCTTTAAGACCACAATGACTCTTCTGACGTAAATTGATACAGTTCTAAAATCTTAAGGTTACCTAAGTATTATAATTTGATGTGTTATAAACATACGAAGTATTATAAACATTTCAAGTTCTAAAATTAATTAATTTGATGTGTTTGGATAGCAACTATTTGCCCAAAAATTATTTACTTGCATCACAAACACATATTCCAATACGTCGTTTTATCTTTTTGATCATTTTTTTAATCTCACATGCATTACATCGTAAAAAGTGTTATAGTAATTATTTCAAATAATGTTCATTGCTAAGTAAAGTCTCAAGGTAAAATCTTAGTAATAAACATAATAATTTCACATAATTATTTGGATAGGTGAATTATTGCACATAATTTTTTGCTTGCATCATAAACACAAATTTCAATCCGCATTTTTTATATTTTAAACTATTTTTTTATCTCACATACATCACATCATAAAAAGTGTTACAGTAATTATTTCAAATAATACTCTGTCCAAACATGAGAGCTTGCAATAAGAAATAGATTTTAAGTCTTGGTGGGTGGGAAGTTAAGGGTTCAAACATTGCCTCCCATCATTTACCACTATATGTGATTTTCTCAAATTCATATGGGTGCAAAATGCACCGTTTGATTCGATGGTGGTGCAGTCCCCATCGGCTCCCCTGTAAGTCTAGTTGGGCATCTCTCTAGATTAGGTTAAAGTTGGAGTAGAGTAGATTAAAAAAAAAAAAAAAAAAAAAAAACCCTAGAGACAGTCGAAAGTTTTGTGGAATCAAAGAAGTTGACAACATGGTGGGGAGAATCATTGATCACGTGTTAGTGAATTGTCCAGAAACGAGACTCTTCTCTCAAGTAGCAGTAGGCATCGAATGAACTAAAAAAGCCACTAGAACTGGAGGACTGGGCTAGGATCAACATACGAAGTCTCAATTCATCCAGCATTGCTGATTACTCGTTTGTGATAGCATCGAGGACCATTTCCCTCTGGTTGCTCTTTTTTTGGTGGGTCGCATATATGGCTAATAATGGAACTCCACCAGCCTAGTCAAAATTACCATCTGGCGAAAGGTCCCAATCAGGGGACAACAATTAGGCCGACGACATTAGGCCACGGCATGGATTGGACAACTTCAATGCATTTTCTGCAGAAAAGAAAAAAAGTTCACTCAAAATTATAACACTTCCTGGACGAAATTAATAATGTATAATGTGTACCTCTTTGATTAACGTTCAGATCATGATGCTATGGTAGATGGGGCAATGGCATGTGCCCTTTGCCAGGCCATCATCCTACCCTTCTGGGATGACGAAGTGCCCCCAGCGATAATAATTGGCTTCTTGGAGACTCCACTCCAGGTTTTGAGCTTGTCTTTCCCATGACGAAATTCTACTTTTATCAAGAGACCTGCCGAGATATAAATGTACCAAGACAGCAAGCAAGAAGCCCTGATAATTAATTTGCCGTCCATTGCTACTGCAGCTCCTGGCTGGAGATCTGAGTAATTATTTTCCCCCTGCATATGGTTAACGGCAGATGATTTCGCAGGGGCTTCATTTCTGAATCCACAGGATGAGCTTTTATGTAACTGAAGGGAGTGAGAGCTGAGGAGGATGGGGCCAGGGAGCGCCCCATTGCCGTAGAGGTCAAAAGCAAAATTGGAGCCCGCGAGCAGAGGGGAAGTAGGAGCCGCTGCTGATTGCTTTCCCCTCTTAAACTCCCTCCCTACCACCTTTTTTTTTTTTCTTTCAAGTCACAAAATTGCAAGTCGGTCGGTCCCTAAATGCAGGAAAACCACGTGGTACAAGAATGTGCTGATTAGTTAGTTAAATTACTCAGGCTGAGGAAATTTGAGACTCAGAAAGAGAGAGTGGAGGGGCCAGCAATTGCGATGGTATCAGCTGGTTCTTTTTCTAACAATCAATCATCACGAGCTATGGATAGAGAGAGTAATAATCAATAAGGTGAACAACAGTCATCCCACATAATTACAAGCATAAGCGTCAAGCCTCAACAATGGATTGCGTTGTGTGGAATGAAAGAGGCAGACATCCTACTCCTGGCCTAGCCT